CCATCAACAGAGCATAAACAGATCAATATTGTATATAGGTTCTGCTAGGTGACAGAACAGTTGAAATTTGTAACCTTTCGGATGAAAGTGGAACTCTCCCTTTGTAATTTTTTCTCTAACCAGGTCCCTCAAGGGATGTGCCCCTTGACTTTAAACACCATCACAACTGGCATACAGTAAACTACGGTTATAACGAACTCAAAGGGACCACTAATTTAAGTTCGTAATAACCGTAGTTCGTTATAAGCATGTAACAACATATATACAACAAATGGCCGGGACTACAAAATACGTTCGTTTTATCTGTCAGTTCGTTATAAGCGTGTTCGTTATAAACGTAGTTAACTGTATTTGTAAACTATACTAGAGTTTTACCTGCTGAGTTATATTTTGTGATGTCAAGAAGGCAGGTATTTTCAAAAGCGCTGGGCAGTTATATGAATGTCAAACATTTAACAGTCGTGTGTTTATGAGAACGGAGATGTGCTTAGAGAACGGAGATGTGCTTATGAGAACGGAGATGTGCTTATGAGAACGGAGATGTGCTTAGAGAACGGAGATGTGCTTAGAGAACGGAGATGTGCTTATGAGAACGGAGGTGTGCTTAGAGAACGGAGATGTGCTTATGAGAACGGAGATGTGCTTATGAGAACGGAGATGTGTTTAGATAACGGAGATGTGCTTAGAGAACGGAGATGTGCTTATGAGAACGGATATTGTTATTTGAACTCAGACTTTATTGGGTCAGTTATTCAGTTATAAGTGTGATTCGCCAACACGTTGAAGTGGATGATACCTCGCCTTTACAACCTATGGATTAGGTAGTCAAATGGAAAGGGTTCATTTCATTTGTTAAGAGGTATTGTTGATTCAAAGAAAACAGCTAAGGTATTTCGAAATATGCTGAAACAAAATGATATGGATCATTTTGGGGGAACATTTGTTTAGGACACACAATTTCAGTAAAAATATCCACACAAAAATCATGATTTCTGACTTTTTCATAACTTTGATAGTTATAAATTTCATAGTTTTCCACATCGTGGTCACGTACAGATTGGTTCCTCGGCACGTTTCAGTCGATACTCATTACAGATATGTAAACAAGTAATATATACTGACACACATTAAAAGCATTATAACGTTTTCCAGAATCATACATGAAGTGTTTTTGTTCATCTCGAAGCATATCGAATGAGAATCGAACCTGAACGACGACATTGTTGTGTTTGATACCTCATAACTAAATGCACAGAACAACTTAATTTGATTTTTGTGGCCATTTTGCCAAATATTACAAAGATTTGAACATGCGTGTTCGAAGAGTTTCAGTATATGAAAGTAGACGTTGCTTTACGTTAACGTACAGTTTTGTATTTAACCCGTGATCACGGCTCATGCAGTACGCCATACAGACATGTAAATAATTAAAACATTATAGAAAAAGTTGCCCAGTTTTCTGCTCCGATTTAACCTACAGAATATCTTTAACCCGTGATCGCGTTTCCATCACCGAAATAGAGAATAAGTAAAATATGAAACATGAACTCACACTGTGGACAACGTTCTATATAGAGGTTCACAAGAAAAGATTCACATACCGCTAATAATTTCATAACAGAAAAAGCGTGTTTTCGTACATCATGTGTATATGAAACATACTTAAATGCCTCCCGTGACAGTAATAACACCATAAAACGTGTACAACAAAAGAAAGCAACGTCTCTTCAGACGAGCTCCTAAGCCTTTGTTTTCAGATGGGTTCCTTAAAACTCCACCAATCCCACATGCAGTGTCGCAGAGAGACTTCACACAGACATTTCATTGTTCTCGAACATTCATCCGCAACAAGTGTTCTGTATTTTTTCCAGACCGTAAAGCCCGGCCTATCCTGCCTCCGTGAAGGGAATCCTGCGGAATGCATCCCACCCGTGACGATGCTCTTAATTTGTCCAACCATTTTCAGAGAAGCTGCGAGGAAAACCGTTCTGTGTCGAACTCCAGGGTAGCTTATAAAGGAGGTATTTTATCTATCCTCTATAATGGTTACCACGAGTCTCACAGTCAGGGAAGGATGGGTGACTGGCAACCGTTAGGTGCAGTTGGTTCGACTACCCCCACCTGCTGATTTAAACCGACAAGTGAAATTACATCGCTTTTTCTCCACCTATAGCCTGCTAGCTGAAGAGAATGCCCTATCTGAATGTTTTTGTGTTTCAATAATGGAAAGGTATGGGGGGTAACGTCGCAGGGTCATTGAAGGAGTATCTGTGAATTTTATCGAGATATTTATCAAATTCATTACAGTCGCTGCGGCAACACAGGTAGAGAAAAATATACCCGAACAAAGATGGTATTATGCACATGTTCCATGTGAGAAGCGTGTTTTATCTTAACATGTATCAATTCTCTTTCTTCTCACTTCAACCGAATTTTAAGATAACGTTACCAGATGAGTCCGGGACAAGTGGACATGAAATGGCTAGCATTTAGGTTTTTTTCTTGATATTTACTTACATCCAAATTGGCTAACAATATTAAATCTGGCAATACATTTAGGTTTTTCATTTCATTTTCGAGACCATGGATTTATATTGATGGGTAAAACAACTCGACATTTTGACATTTTTGGCTAATGTAATAGTGCAATAAATTATATCATTCAATGGGCTACTAATAGGTGTTGGTGTGAGTTAAGAGCGAATACCAGATAGTTTTGTATATGGTGGTGTGTGATTGACGAAACACGTGATTAAAGATAGCTCATAGCAGAAAGTAATAGTGTTATCACGGAACATAACTTTCGAGGAAATTCAAAATTTTTTAAGAAAACGCTTCAGTCCGGGATCGCCAAGACTGAATGAGTATTGAAAGAGGAAACAGAAAAAAATATCAACAAATTTATTTGAGAATACGTTAGGGAAATCTTAACACAACGAAAGATAGAAAATAAGGACAATGTCATATTTCATTGCCACGGGATCAACTTGTGAAGAACACTCTCATCATTATGTGCATGTACAGAAGGACGGTCCACATCCATGTCATGATGTGTGGCTTTTGAGGAAACCGATGTTTGCACATGAGTGTACCTCAAAGGCCGAACGGAGTTATACCACGCCTTTTCATCTTCAAATCGTATCTAACGTGAAAGAAAGTTTGTTTTGTAGACTGGGAACACAGAACCCTCTCCGCTATATCACACCTAGCCCTTTCCCTTCACTCTTTATCCAGAACAGAGAACGGGATGTTAGGCTGCGAGAAGCCAGACAGGCAAGGTAGTAAAACACCCCCTTGTCTATACCCATAACAGGTTCAAGTAATGAAACTGTTCAACGCTTTACACATCTCCGATGTAGTAGTGGGTTTGTGAGGTACTCTTTATGCTAACAATTATTGAGTGTAGGTGTAGCGATCTAGGTGTGTTTCAGTGACTGTCTACATGTATGCAAACTAAAAAATGGATATCCAATTTTTAAAGTTTATACCATATAGTACTTCTCGATTGAAGCTTAGGTGGTATTAAAGATCAATTGATTGTGGATACCTGGATGAATGTCATAGTTACGTTAACACATGTATTGAGGTGTTGATGAAGATATATAGATGGGTAGATATGTGAATGTTGATGGGTGGGTGGGTGGTTGGACAGAAGTTGCATGCATGGATGGATAGGTAGCTATGAATAAATGGGTGGTGGGTGGATGATGGGTGGATCGATGGATCAAGTGATGGATGGTGGATGGATGGTGGTGGGTGTCGCAGTAGGCAGGTGGGTGGATGGATGGTTTATAACCACTTGTGCCGTAATGCTTCGTTTGATTTATTAGATTAAAAATAAAATTTTGTATTTTTATATGCATGCACACAAGTTTAAACATATGCTTTATTCTGATGGGAGATTTTCAGATAGCATTCAACCAAACGGCAACGATTCCTTCATGCATGCCTTGGATTAACAATGACTATTATTCCCGGCAAATACCACGTAGTATGAGGAAATTGAGAAATCATGTTGGATTATAATGTTTTGTCCCTCTACATTAAACAGTGCAATGATAAATAACTCCATCAGTATGGTGTATATCATGCAAACATTTCATGATCTGTCAGTAAGAAAATCAAACAACACAATCGAAATATTAGTAATGACGTAATGTATTAAATAAATATGTTGTGTTCATCTTCGTATATGGTCATCAAAATAATAATAATAATATTGATATTAATGAAAATGATATTAATATTGATAATTGTGACGTAAATGATATTGATAATAATGAAAATGATATTAATATTGATAATTATGACGATAATCATATTGATATTAATGAAAATGATATTAATATTGGTAATAATGAAAATGATATTAATATTGATAATTATGACGATAATCATATTGATATTAATGAAAATGATATTAATATTGATAATAATGACGATAATATTGAGAATATAGGAAAAAGAAGAGGAGGAAGAATAATTTGTGATGATGATTATGAAATTACTTCGAATAATAACAGATCCGTGTGGTAATCATCATGACAGGTTCCCCACAAAAGGAATTATTTTCTATATATTTTCTATGTCAATTGAGACATACTCAGGATATTGTGGGTCTTGAAAAACGTTTAAAAAATAAATAATCCTGTATGGTGTATTCAATAGCTTGTACGACTTGATAAAGTTGAAGTTTGCACATAATATATCAACAACTTCGTCCTTAAAAGCAGTATAGATGCGAGGATTATACCGCCCTTTCTCGAGTTTAATAACTATTTACACAGCACACAAAAGCCATTCGTAGTTGAACACATCTTAACAAAATAGTCCTACGCTCTCTTCGCAAACTATTTTTAAGATGAATCCAATATTTACTCTCTTTGCCAAGGTAATTTAGTTATATTCTCGCGTATTCCCTCGCTAGCACCTCACGCCCTCTAGTTACAGTGCCGCTTCAGAAGATGCTATCAGATGCTATCTTTATCACGCCCTCTTACCTTCGCAGTCTGATGCTTTTCCCTTTTCTGGAGTCGGAGGAGGTGTGGTCAAAGGGGTCGAGATGTCCGAGTTCCCGGGGGTAAAAATGGGCGTGGCAACATCTTCCCATGTACGTGTTTGAACGCAGGATTTTTTTCGAACCAGAAACGATTTAGGCATTTTGTCCTTTTAAAAACTTTTTTTTAAAAGCCTTGTTAAATATCATTAAATAACGTGGAAATGTAATCAACAGTCGTTTTTTAGAATCATCACACACCGTCGTAATATCCAATATCGATCGTCAGTTTAACGGTGGAAATTCTCACACAGTAATGTACAAAATCCGTGTTAAGTTTAAAGTTTCTCAGAATCACTTCAGTCCACAGCAAGCTCCTAGCGATGTACTCAGAACAACCGGGAGCTCTCTAAGCGAGGAGGTGAAGGTGTGTCGCCTTGTCTCATCCACCCGCTACAGATAACGTTCAGCCCTCTACATCTGTAAGCGGCGTTATGGTCCCTCACGTTCCAGCGCATCCTCTACCCGCTACACCCGCTTCGGCTCACTGACCCATAACAACCGGGAGTAAAAGTAGTTTTTCATCCATTGACATGCTTAACGGTTGGTAGGATACACGCGGTGGTAAAAATAACTCAGGATTGATAAATTTTTTTAGAAAAGATAGGCGTTTCGTTTATTGTTAAAATGAATATCTATTTCTGTATTTGAAAAGTTTACACGTTTTTAGTGATGTGGAATGAAAATAAAGCTCATCGAAGGCGATGCTATCATTGTACAGATGTTGACTTCTCGAGGTCCTATGACTCTCGCCGTCATATCAAACATATCATCTCGCTTGAATCTTTAACGGTCTATCGGTATTCATTGATGGTAGAAAGATAGACCATTACAGTAAAGATCACTTGGTAGAGGGAGCATGTGTATGGTGGACCTGTTTGTTTATTGACCTGAAGATAACTTCACGTATAGCATCCAGGTCTTTGAAGTTGTCCAGAATGAAGATGATCGCTGCTGCGCCCCATTACGTTCAGTGATTGGTGCCCATGTCCTGATACGATGTTAATAGCTGACACCTTCTCTCGGGGTTGGGGAGGGTCAGGTTTTACGGTAAGGGAGACATTGGGTGGGTGATGTATCGGATACCCAGAGTCACGCTCCATGAGGGCCCGAGCAAGGCTACACTTTGGATACAGTTTGTGTGTACAGTAAACTACGTTTATAACGAACACGCTTATAACGAGCTTGCGGATATAACGAACTGTTTTGTTTGTCCAGGCCATTTGCTGTATGTATGTTTATAACGAACTACGGTTATAACGAACTAAAATTAGTGGTCCCTTTGAGTTCGTTATAACCGTAGTGTACTACAGCCCATTTGGCATGTGTAGTTCAGATGAATGTTTCAATTTAATTTACTGTGTAGACGCCATATTCGGAACTATTTCTAGCCAAAATATGTTTTCACATGCAGAAGTGTTCTCTTCATAAGAACATATTTTAATATAGGTACGTATTGAAGGCAAGACCACGCGTACCTACATACACACATGCACATGTAGCTCACACTATGCTGAATATAGCAACATCATATTTGACATCAGAAAATTCCCCAACAATGTGTATTTTAGTAAACGTGAATTCAATTTTCTCTTTTTGCAAGCAATAGTTTTTCACCAATAAGACACTGGATAGGCAGTTGGTTTCTATTGATCAACCTAATGAATCAAGTCTTTGAAAGACATTAAGAAGTGATATATATAAGGAAGAGAATTTATGGATGTCAACTTCTTTATTATGAAGAACACAACGTTTCGGAGTATATACTTACTCCTTCATCATGAATGGATGCTATGAAGCAGAGAGCATATATATGTACATGTAAGAACAATAAAAGTAATAAGATAACATAGAATACTAGTATATGACAATTAAGGCATCACATAATAAAATGCATCGCATTATATTTGTTATAATTGGAAGGAAGAATCTGTAGTTGCTGGACTGGTGGATGGATGGGCAGAAGAATTAATGTTATATGTTGTACGTGTACGTTTATCGAATCACATTGACACTATTGGTGTCTTGTATTCTCTCTGATATGGGAGATAATAAGGGCCATGTCCTGAAACCAACTGACGTTTCCAAGTGAGATGACTCGTGTTTGGGGAAACTGCGCCTTATGTTTGAAAGCTGCAAACAAATTAAATGCATCCTACCGTACGACGGTTTCTGAACATTCGGTTAATTGTTACGCACATGGTTTTTGTAAAGCATCTTGGTTCCCTAAACACACCAAGGACAGCAACGTGAGCCATCTGAGTATCCCCTGTGTCCGCTGTATTATATTGTGCCATACACTGTATATAAATGTATCTACTTGCAGCAAACATGTGCATCCGTAATCAGTGACGCAAACTATTGCATGGACAAGATGTATTCTTTTGTTGTGCTTTTAACATACATATGCAAGGAGTTCAGCGCTATACAAGCATCCTTACAATATGACAGCATACTATATAGTTAAAAATTGAGCTGTGCATACTACACAGTTAAAAACTGAGCTGTGGGTGTGGCTGTTTACATCATATATTCTCTTGAATATAGTTATACTTACACCGTCGTTGTTGTACTCATCAAACCTGATTAATTTCGACCCGACTGATCAAAGCTGGCCCGACTCGACCCTACTAATCAAACCTGGTCCTACTTTATCTTACTCAATCAAACCTGGTCCTTTCTTCCTCAATCAAACCTGGTCCTTTCCTCCTCAATCAAACCTGGTCCTACTCGACCCTACTAATCAAACCTGGTCCTACTCCATCTTACACAACCAAACCTGGTCCATTCTTACTCGATCAAACCTGGTACTATTCTGTCTTACTCGATCAAACCTGGCCCTACTCTATCTCACTTAATCAAACCTTGTCCTACTCTATCTTACTCAATCAAACCTGGTCCTACTCGACCCTACTAATCAAACCTTGTCCTACTCTATCTTACTCAGTCAAACCTGGTTCTACTCTATCTTACTCAGTCAAACCTGGTTCTACTCTATCTTACTCGATCAAACCTGGTCCTACTCTATCTTACTCAATCAAACGTGGTCCTATTCTATCTTACTCAACCAAACCTGGTCCTTTCTTACTCGATCAAACCTGGTCCTATTCTGTCTTACTTAATCAAACCTGGTCCTACTCTATCTCACTTAATCAAACCTGGTCCTACTCTATCTTACTCAGTCAAACCTGGTCCTTCTCGACCCTACTAATCAAACCTTGTCCTACTCTATCTTACTCAGGTCTTATTCGGCCTTCTCGATCAAAAATGGTCTTATTCGGCCTTCTCGATCAAACATGGTCCTACTCGGCCATCTCGATCAAACATGGTCCTACTCGGCCATCTCGATAAAACATGGTCCTATTCGGCCTTCTCGATCAAAAATGGTCTTATTCGTCCCTCTCGACAAAACATGGTCTTATTCGGCCTTCTCGATCAAACGTGGTCCTATTCGCCCTCCTCGATTAAACATGCCCCTTGTCGGCAATCTCGATCAAACATGGTCCTTCTCAGCCATCTCGATCAAACATGGTCCTATTCGGCCTCCTCGATCAAACATGATCCTATTCAGCCCTCTTGATCCAACATGGTCCTTTTCGGTACGTTCTATTAAATATGGTCCTAATCGGTCCTCACGATCAATCGTGGTCCTAATCGGCACTCTCGATCAAACACGGTCTTATTCGGACCTCTCGATCAAACATGGTCCTATTCGGCCCTCTTGACAACAAATGTTCCCAGTCGACCCTGGTCCTAGTCGCCCCTTTCGATCAAACATTGTCTACTCGGTTTTTCTCGGTCGTACATAACTGCATCTGGTGAAACTCGTGGTACATGTTCATGTTATATTTGAACGTTTGTTTGTTGTTGAACGCCGGTATCAGCGATGCTCCGTGAATTTCACGCCGACCTGTAAATAATAGAGTCTAGACCAGACAAACCAGTGGCTGATATTATGAGCAAAGTCCCACACTGTCGGGGTGCGATTATACGCTGTCAACCAAGTCACCGAGGCTGACTACCCGATTCATTTAGAAGCCTCTTAAGACTAGAAATATAATGCTTGGGACATAAGAAATTAAATGCACATTAGAAGTAATTGTAGAAGTAGCATTTTCTGTATATAGTAGTAACAGTAGTGGTAGCCGCAGTAGTAACAATAGCGGTATGTTGTAGTTATTGCATATGTAAAAGTTGGGTAAAAGGTTGTGGTAGTAGCAGTAAAAGTGGAGTAGTAGTAGTAGTAGTAGTAGTACTAGTACTAGTAGTAGTAGCAGTAGTAGTAGTAAGAGTAATATTAGTAGTAGTAGTAGTAGTAGTAGTAGTAAGAGTAGTAGTTGTAGTAGCAGCAGTAGAAGCAGCAGGCAGTAACAGTAGCAGTAGCAGCTGTAGCAGTAGTGGTAGTTGCAGTAGCAGCAGTAGTAGTAGTTGCAGCAGCAGTAGCAGTAGAAACAGTAGTAACAGTAGCAGTAGCAACAGCAGTAGTAGCAGTAGAAGTAGCAGCAGTAGTAGTTGTAGCAGTAGCAGTAGAAGCAGCAGGCAGTAACAGTAGCAGTAGCAGCTGTAGCAGTAGTGGTAGTTGCAGTAGCAGCAGTAGTAGTAGTTGCAGCAGCAGTAGCAGTAGAAACAGTAGTAACAGCAGTAGCAGCAGTAGCAGTAGCAGTTGTAGCAGCAGCAGTAGTAGTAACAGTAGTAGCAGCAGCAGTAGCGGTAGTAACAGTAGTAGCAGCAGCAGTAGCAGTAGTAACAGTAGTAGCAGCAGCAGTAGCAGTAGTAACAGTAGTAGCAGCAGTAGCAGTAGTAACAGTAGTAGCAGCAGTAGCAGTAGTAACAGTAGTAGCAGCAGTAGCAGTAGTAACAGTAGCAGTAGTAACAGTAGTAGCAGCAGTAGCAGTAGTAACAGTAGCAGTAGTAACAGCAGTAGCAGTAGTAGCAGTAGTAACAGTAGCAGCAGTAGCAGTAGTAGCAGTAGTAGCAGCAGTAGCAGTAGTAACAGTAGTAACAGCAGTAGCAGCAGTAGCAGCAGTAGAACAAGTCATCAGGTTCCGTCTCATGCATCAGGAACACTTTCCCCACCAGGATGTAGAAACAGTAGTAACAGTAGTAGCAGTAGCAGCTGTAGCAGTAGTAGCAGCAGCAGCAGTAGTAGTAACAGTAGTAGCAGCAGTAGCAGCAGTAGCAGTAGCAGCTGTAGCAGTAGTAGTAACAGTAGTAGCAGCAGTAGCAGTAGTAACAGTAGTAGCAGTAGTAACAGTAGTAGCAGCAGTAGCAGCAGCAGTAGCAGTAGTAGCAGCAGCAGCAGTAGTAGTAACAGTAGTAACAGTAGTAGCAGTAGTAACAGTAGTAGCAGCAGTAGCAGCAGCAGTAGCAGTAGTAGCAGCAGCAGCAGTAGCAGTAGTAACAGTAGTAGCAGCAGTAGCAGTAGCAGCAGTGGTAGTTGCAGTTGTAACAGTAGTAGCAGC